TTTAGTTGACAAATAAGTAAAATCTGCATTCCAGTTTAAAGTGTAAGGCTGTTTCTTTCTCATGCAAGTCAGTGATGGAGTAAATCTCTTGGCATTATCATTTCTCTGGGATGAAGATTTGTTACTTATGGAAGGCAGCAGCTTTTCATAGCAGGGAGAGGGATGGAGTGGGTAGAACTGAGCACCAGGCTAAGTGAGCTCTAAGTAACTTAGGCAGACACTTGGTATGTAGGTTTAGATACTGTTGTTGAAATCTTAAAAGTACTTTTTTTTTTTTCTGTCTTTGAATCAATTTCCTTATGATACCACTGTTACCTGCCAAATGTGGAAGTGCTATGCTGAAACTGTTGATATATGGTGCAAATCACAGCATCTGCTGTCATCCAGGGTTCTTGGCAGAGGTCCCTGTTATGATCTTGATATTGATCCCCACACTCCCCCAATAAAGCTTTAAAATCCCAAACATTAGGAGCACCTGTTTGCCTCATGATCACTCTCAGAACTGAGTTTATCAAGGTGGATTGCTTATCCACATGTTTGTAAAGCTGTACCAGCATTGCTTCTTCTGGCCCAAGAAAATCCATTTTGAAGTCCTTTTTCTCCTGTGCCCCTTTTCTTCCTGATAACCATCCAACAAACCAGAGTTTAGGGACTTGTCTTGCCTGTGGTCACACAGCTCAATGGAGCTGAATTTAACAGATCCTGCTTCAGGATGCACGGCAGTTCAGACATTATAAGAATTTTATTTGGTTTTGATTGTACATTATAAACACTTTAGGTTGCATTTGTGCTTGGTTGTTTGTTTTGTTTTAGTTGTCACACAATTCTGAGTAGTTTGGTGTTACTCATTCCAATTTTCTTGTGTATTTTTTCAAAACATGGAATAAAATGTCTTTACTCCAAAAACAGGTTCTGAAATCTGTTGTATCCTGTGCCTGCTTTTCTGTGCTACAGTGAAGTTCACAAAGCCCAAGTAATAAATTCTTATTTCTTCAGGACTCCATGCAAAATTGAGCCCAGCATAAACTGTGTGTTAAGTACTCGCAAACCTGAGGAACGGGAGGACCCACTGCAGCGTGTGCAGCATCAGCAACAGGACGCTCAGGCAAAGAAAGAGATGGTGATGTACTGCAAAGAGAAAGTTTATGCTGGAGTAGATGAATTCTCTTTTGAAGAGATCCGAGCTGAAATGTACAGGAAGAAAGCAAGAAAGAAAGATGAGGGTATGTTTCAAAGTGGGCTGGAATAAGTAGGGCATTCCAGATGGAATAATGAAATTGTATTTGCTTCTGTCTGTTGTTGCAGCTGCTTGTCTTTTTCTACTGGAGTAGTTGTTTAACTGCTGTAAGGTACAGAGACAGTAGCACATTCAACAGCTTTACATGGAAGCTGTGGGACAGGGAAAGACCACCAGAAGTTTCGGCCCCTTGACAATTTAGGCTGCAGCCACCAATTGTATGTGAAATAGGCATTGGGCCTTAGAAGTGTATTTTCCTTAGATGAAATACAAGCCATCGAACGGAAGAAGGAAGAAATACAAAGGAAGATTGAAGAGCTGGAAAAGAAATTAAAGAAGAAAGAAGATGACAAGCAGCCACAACCACATGAACAGGTATTGTACTCATTTATCTGCAAGTACATGCAATTTTAAATAAAAGTACCCAAAAAAGCCAAAAGAAAGCATTTCTGATATTCTTCGAACACATTTTAAACTTCTTTTGAAAGGATTCTTCGCTAGTAAAGTATATGCTCTTTCTCTCTTTCTCTTACGTCCCTGTTTCTAAAACAATGCCTTCACAGTAAGTACTTTAAATAATGAAACAGAGTTGTGACTTTTTTAGGCTACCTAACTACTTACATATGTCCTTAACGGTTAGAGAGTAACTAAAATCTCCTATAAAAGTATAAATATGGTTGCAAAGAGTAAATGATGCCTTTTAACTTCACTGTGCAATAAAAGTGGACTTTACTTTCTTCGTGCAGGTAAGCTAAGTACAAATAAAAGCAGCTAAAGGCAACCATTTCCTATCAGGGTTTTAATGACTACGTGGAATTATCTTCATGGTTTTGGAGCCTTTTTGCCTGGCTTGTGATTCTACCACTGTAGAACTAAAATGTGCCTTTGTTTCTGCAGGCAACAGAGGTAATGGGAGCTTCCACACCTTTGGGAATGCAAGGATTTACTTTTCCCAGTGCAAAAGAATATGGGGAGAAACAGCCTCAGTCACAAAGGTACTAGAGGGTTTTTTTAGCCAGCAGGGAGAACACTTGTGAGGCTATGTAGGTATGACTAGTAACATGGATCACTAGCAGCCTGTTTTCTCAGGTAGAATGGAGTATAGCCTTGACATCAGCCCATAACCAGGATCTGTGCTCTTTCTCCATATGTCTGAGGGATCTTAACTTTTTTCAAGAAGCATTTGTCATCTTGGCTTGCCTTTTTTATGGAGTTTACTTATGTTTTGTGAGGATCTGTAGAATACAAACTTGTTTATTTTATCTTTTTCACAGTGAATTCCAGATCTATGAAGATACTCAACTACATAAACCATCTTGTTCTGAGGGTAAGTAGTGAAGTTTTTTACCATTAACGAGACAGTCTGGTTAAAGGAAAGTGTTCCATGAATACCAAGAAGGCAGCAAAGTAAAACCCAAAGCTTAGGTGGATAAGAAGAATAACAGTATGTGTGCTAGTAGTGCATTTTACCTTATTGTGCAAAATATAGAGCATCTGAGATCTGAGAACTGTCACTATTTGAAACGACTTTCAAGAAGAAGAGCATTTTTCTTTCAGTAGCTGGAAAGTTTTCTTCCATTTTTCATGTTTGCTGTCTTACTAGCATTTCAGAAGAGTTTAATAATATCATGAGATTGATAACTGCCTTAAGTCCTTTTTCCTTAGAGTTTTTGCTAGGAGAATGCATCCATAAATTGTATATTATTGATTTTGGTAAGTTTTGTTGGGAAGGTCAGATCCCAAAGAACTTTACTTCAGATTGGGGTTGACTTTTGTTGCTGTTGACAGAGGTTATCCAGACTCCAGATGTGTCCCCAGATAGCCACAGTGGAAATACATTTTTAAACTCTGAGGAGAAACAGCGAAATGAGACAGTCTTGCAGAAAAATGGACAAATTCTGAAGCATAGTCTAAATACAGCAAGTTAGCTCACATATGGTGGTAAAGGAGTGGTTTCATTAACGTAGCAAAACCAAACATTATTAAATAGGTTTCTTTGTATGCCAGCTCTGTAACTTACTGTTAGAAGCAGTACTTTTAGAACTGTGTATTAATTATTTTAAGTAGTATTGGATATGCTATTTTGGAAGAACTATGGATATGAAAGAGCCTACTCGTTTTTCTTTACAGATGTTGGTCTGCTTCGCCCACCAGCTGCTGTTCCGTTTTTCTCTATATTTGATGAATCCTCTGCTTTGACAAATGAGAATATAAGGTAGAATTATTCAAGACTTGGATTTCAGAGGGAAGGAAAACAGAAGGATCAAAGCTGTTGCTGTAGCAGCTGAAATACGCGTTAACTACAGGGATGTGTGGGGGATGTGTTTTGTTTTGTTTATGTTGGTATTTTTAATTTAATTACTCAGAATCCATGATGAGAAAATACTCTTCTGTTCTTCATCTTCAACCTGGAACTATTTAAGCTACTCTATAAACTTGCTTCATTCTGGAGAGCTGTAATTATTGCTTACTGCTAGTTCTGTAGTAGAAATTAGTTGATTGAAGTGATCAATAGACTGAAGCTCTTAAGAGGAATTTGCTGGAGATGGGAAGCTGCTCTAATAAATAGGTAACTGACTGTAACTTCTTCTCAGTTGTTCAGCAGATCATAGGCAGAAAAGTGCCCGTCAGCCTCTCTCTGTTCGTGATCCTGTGGATTCTCTGAGTGCCAAGGAAAGCAGAGCAGCAGCAGCAGCCTGTGTAAGGAAACACTTCAGCCCCTGGCAGATTTCCTGCCCAGGAGAGAGCAAGGCAGCCTGTGCTGCTGTCAGACTGAGTCAGCTTGTCTGGACTGGCATCACGTGTGAAAACCAAGGATTCTAAACTGCTGCCTGGCATGGCAGGAATTGGACAGGATGATGATGAGATTATACTGGAAATATCATGTTGTGGCTGTGGCTGCCTTGTCCCAGGAAGGGTTCCAGGCCAGGCTGGATGGGGCTTGGAGCAGCCTGGTCTAGTGGAAGGTGTCCCTGCCCATGGTGAGGAGGTGGAAGTCAGTGGTCTTTAAGGTCCCTTGTGACCTGGAGCATTCTGGGATTCTGTGATAAGTAGAGTTAATGAAGGCTGAATGTCCTTTTCATGTTGGAAGGTGGTGGAGTGGAAGCAAGGGAAGAGAAATGTTCATCTTTGAAATAAAGAAAAAATGGTCATAAAATATGCAGGCTTTCACAGTCGCTTCTGTTTTTCTCCAGGATGAGGTGAATGGAATTGAACGTTTGAGTGAGGATGCAATTGTGACAGGCTCCTACAAGAACAAGACCCTTTGTGCCAACCCAGAGGACACGTGTGACTTTAACAGGGCTGCCCACCTGGCCTCAACGCCCTTTCACAGGGTGGTAGCTCAGAGAGTCCCAGCTCCTGCTTTCTCTCAGAGTGAACTGAAGGAAGACAGTCCAGAATCCAAGAGTGCGCCTCTGAATCAGGAGACACCAGAGTGTGAAGGGGCATACACTGAAGCTCTCAGTGTCAAAAAACTGAGGTAATTAACAGTAAGGGACCTTTAGCCCTTTCTCCTGCATGTCTTTCATGTTGTGGCTTTACTGTTGCTAAGGATGGAGTTTTCTGAAAAGACCAGAATATCCTGGTCAGAGCAATTTCTGTAGCTCAGACTTTACTTTGACTTGAGCAGATTGAAGAGGTAATAGCAAGCCCATTGGCTTTTTGCATTACTGCTGTGGGACTTAAGTACAAGGTTTTTTTAACCAAATAACTTACAGAGAAATAAATGCTTTCTGTCCTCATTATCAAACATGAAGAGCAGAATCATCGCTTCCTTTTTTACTCTTGGCTTCTGTACTTATTTTGACTATATAAAATGTTTTTAGTGTTCATAATTTAGTTCTTCTACAGAGTAAAAAAGCTGAAGAGAAGAATAACCTTTTTGTCATTGTGAAGAATAATTTGTTATATGGGAGTTTCTTAATCTAGAGCTGAGTTGATTTTCTGGCTCTTAGGATGTAAACATGGATACTGTGCTGAATGTGTTTTTTACTTGAGAGGTTCCTTGAAAACCTTGCTGATTATAATTAGGAAGAAATATTTCCCACCCAACCCTTCACTGCTTTAAAAGTACTGAAATTTTGTACCAAAGGTAGTGATAAATATTCAGGATGTCTTCTGTTGTATCAGTTAAATTTGGTGGAAGAGAAGATTTATATAATCATCTCTACACTAAGATTCCGAGTATAATCAATCATCAAAACTGAAATGAAACTCTGGCATGACTTCTGCCTTTCTGCTGGGCATGGGAAAGAATTTCTTCATGTTAATTAAATCTCGGCATGCACAGTATCCTCTCCTAGTCCCCTGGCTGACATTATCTACAATTTATATCTTTGGGAAGGCTGAGTACTTGATGGCTTTATTTACAGCCCAATCATGGAAGCAAGCCTGGAAGACACTCACTCGTCAGGTGCTTCAGTCTCAGGAGGTTCTCTGTCCTCCGTTACACAAACATCTGATATAAAATACCTGCAGATCAGTGAGAAACTGGAGCTGGCTCAGAGCTTGCCTGCTGAAGTGGTTACTGATTCTGGAGGTGGAAACTTTACTGGTTAGTACTAACATGAATTTCACTCACTACAAATAACTTGCACCTGTCACTAAATGCGGGGGTTTTTCTGCCCTTCCTGTATCCCACTCTGTTTGTGTGTTTCCCGTTACTATGACTGGTGACTGAACTTGTCTCCCTTGTCTGAAGCAGCAGTGAGGTGCAGTACAGGATGCTTGTCAGCATTCAAAACATGTCAGTATTAAGGTGACAGAGAAGTTACTTAGGGTAGTAAAGCAGGCAGTCTGTAGGAGTAATGAGGTCAAATTCCAAAATTGAAAATTTGGTCTGGATGGCAGTAATAACTTCTAAGGTAGCTTTGTTTTGGTTTGTCTTTCTTTTTTCTCTGTCATCATACTGTGTGTCTCCTGATTGGCTGATAAGCTACTACTTTGAAATGGATGAACACGAATTTGGAGTCTACTGCAAGTTGCATAATTTTGGTTTAAATCTGCATTTTAACTATGCTGTAAACTCTTGTGCTGCTTCACAATATCCTTCTTAATCCTATTGAGGGAAAACAGTACTGATACTTAAATAGTCAATTTCTTTGCTTGTTTTTCTTCTAGTTAAAGGCAATTGTTTGTTTCTGTTCTAAATATTTAGATTACAGTTAGAACAGAAATGGTCACAAAAGGCCTTCAAAATCTGTCCTGTGGAATTAGATGTGTGTTGGATGATGATGTTCAAGGTGTTCAGCCTTCTTTAATTCCTTTGGTTTTGGTCTATGGTGTATTTATTGGCATTGTGTATTTGAAATTTTAGTGTATCTACTCTGGAGAGTTATGTTCTCATGTGCCTGCAGACTATTTTATGATGAAGCATGGAATGAAAATACAATTAGAAGTCACATCACTGAAATAGCTGGGATATTTTGGATGGATCTTTGTCTTGTTTTTATCATATGTACTAAACTTTAGAGCAAGATGAAAAATGTCTTCAGAAAAAAATAGCATTTGTTCAGATGTTTTAATGGTCCTTTCTTAAACTTTGGATCTTTCCATTTGCTTTGTTTCTTAATTTCTTCACATCTCCCTTGAGCTGCAGCTCTCACCCTGGATATAGTAATTCTTAATACTGTGTAAAGAATAAAAATTACTTCAGATATCTGTCAGTTTATTCCTGCAAAATATGCCAGTAAATTTCCTAGGTTTGTGATGGCAAAAACATAGAACACATTGTAGCCTCCAGCCTACACTATTTCCTGGATCTTTCACAGAATTGCTTCCTGAGCAGTACTTACTGCAATGCTTTTCAAAAAAGTGTGGGCATAACAGATATAATCTGGTCCTTACAGTGTGTACTGTGGAAGTTTAAAATGATCTCCCTCATTACAGCCATGGCATTTAGGAGAAAGCAGTAGAGGCCATCCAGTTCTTATGTTTTATCTCAAATGATCAAGCAGAGTAAACACTGAGGCTACCTTGGTTTTTTTACAGATCAACTCATCTATTGAATGACCTTATGTTCTGTTATGAAGGAAGATAAGTCCAGTCCGACAGGTGTCTTCTAGGAGATAAAAGCCATTAAATTCTTAACATTGCAGTGAGCAGCAGAGTTGGAGTCCAACTTTGTTTTCCTTTTCTTGCATAAAACCTCTGCTGTAATCCAAGGACTAAATTTCCCTAAACCCCATAATTTAAAAACCCCAAACTAATCACTTGCTGTGGGCATAGATTTAGAAAACGAGTTTTAATTTGCAGAGTGAGTTTGAATTCTGCTGTGGCTGAAATAATTCAGAGCTTTGTCTCTTGCAAAAGATAACATTTTGCATGATGCTACAGTAGAATCCTTTAAACCTCACAATAAAAGTCTGTAAGGCAGTTCTAAAGACAAGGGTCACATTGACTTCCCAGAACTATCGGAAAGAGATGAGTTGACTTGCTAGGAGATGAATAGTAAATCAGAGTGTGGACCAAAAGTTTCCAGTATCCAGTTTACTTTTACTGACAGATACAATCAAGTTGCAGAGAGTTAACACAATTTCAGCTCATCTCTTCATGTTTTTTGTTTATTTAGATGATGATGTAGCTCAGTTCCTGTGGAGCCCTGAACAGCGTAAAAAGCTTTTAGGTTCTGTGTTATCATCACTGGCTGCTTCTCCAGATTTTCACTTGGAAGCTGGAGCTCTGCCTCACATGGTGGTTGAGAAAGACGTTGAGCTGGGTAGGTGTGCCAGACCCTCTGCAGTGCAGAGCTTGTGCTCTGATGGGTTTGAATTATGGCTCGTATCCACCCTCTTAGTTTTATTTGGTGCAGGTGGGAAATGACTTGGGAAGAGCTATTTACTGTGACAGTTTATGAATGTAAACTTTCAACACAGGAAATGAGACTTACTGCATCAAAATGGAATATTGGAACAATGAAGAATACAAGATGTTTTTTGCCATTCCAACTGGATGCAGTTTCCAGTGGGATGTTAAGGGATTTGCAATAAAGGTAACACACATGATGGTTATTGTACAAGAAGTGTGAACTGGCAAAATCTCATCCATTAATATAAACTTTTAATTTCCGAATTCCATGCCAGAAGTTTGCTACTTCAAGTCCTCTTCCTAACTGAGGGTCTAGATTAAAAGTTTCTGACTGTGAAAAATGTCTTCCTTGATCAGGTGGGAGGGGGAAATAAAAAGAGGATGGGAATAATATGAAAATGAGCAATTCTCACTTTATTCCAAAAATAAATGTTCTTCTTATGTACCTTCTTGTAGGTGTATTCTCAGCCTGTGCCTTGGGATTTTTATATCACCCTTGAGTTACAGAAGCGTTTGAATTCTGACTTTGACCAGAGCTTCAGTGAGAATTGCAACTGTTACCTGTACCAGGATGGCTGTGCCATTGTGCACAAGGATACAAATTGCTTCACACTCATGGTCAGTACGGGCAAACCAAGGATAACTGGAGGGTCCAAACTCCTGCTTGGGTGCCACTAGTGAGTCTGGAGTGGTGTTATGCTCCTTTCTGAAGAGCTTCTCCTGTCTAATCCTGCAATACAGATGCTCTGGTTTTCATCTGGTTTTTGTGTACAAATCAGGGCTGTCTGTTAATGACTGTTGGCTCTGGTTTCTCATTCATAGATCATGTGCTTCTCAGAGACAATCTTGAACCAATTTTTCACATTTTCTGTCTTTGTGAGTCATAAAGGACTGGAGCCAAGAACCACGTTATTCCATAGCAAGATTTGCATCTAAAGCTGTTGTTTAACTTGACCTCTTTCAATACATTCCAGTCAGCTACATCAAGGTCATGGCAATTAATGTCTTGCTGAATGATTTGCACTTTAGGTCTTGTAAGTGCATTTTGAATTGTTGCATACAAATAGGACTGAAATTCAATAGTGATCTCAGTCTTCAGTTCAATTTCCTCCTCCTGGTCTTTTGTCCAATTTTGAATAATGTTTCCTAGCTTACAGTTCTTGCAATTCTGTCTGAGCAAAATCTGATTATATTGAATTTATGGTGGGACTGTTACCTCTGTACAGATGAATAATGAAACAAAAAGTGAGCTATAAATATTTCACCTAATCTAAGGTAGAAGGGTACAGAGATAGATGTTTATTCTCTTTTCAGGATATTCTCCGTGACCGTAAGTTCATCACAAAGGAAATCCTCTTCTTGGTTGTTCATGATCTTCTGCATGTGGTAGAGAAGCTGCACAAAGCGGAGATTGTCCATGGAGATCTGAGGCCAGACGTGTTTTTTCTGGGAGACAGGTTTGTCTCTGCCTATGACTATGGGAGGGTACAGAGCAGTCATTTCAGCTACAGCTCCCCTGCTTCTGTAGCTTCTACCCTTGAGCTGGTGTACAGAAGTACTGAGGCCTGAACAACAGGCCCGAGCCAAAGCTGCACTCTAGACGAACCTTCCAACCAAATGTTATATTTGTATCTACTCAGTAACAAAGATTCATTAGCAATATGATCTATGTATCCACTCATTGTCAAAACATGTATTCACCTTCCTGTATTTAGAAACTAGATAAGGCCACACCTGGGTTTTTGGGGTTGTAGGAGCAAAGGCAACTCCCTGGGTTGTGCCTTGAGAGGCTTTGGGAAGAACCCAGGAGGAGGCTGACCCCAGATGTTCCTGCACTGGAAGTGGTGTGAGCTTGTTTATTGCCCCCTGCCCAAGCTGGGCCCTGTCCCAGCACAGTCGGAAGCCTCTTTGCCTGCGGGTGGATGCACCCATAGAAATTCCCAGTTCTGGGAGGCGCTCTCCAGTGCTTGGCTGCCACAGGGTCCCCCAGCTGCTGTGTGGCTCTGGAGGGTGGTGATGTCTTAGGGTGTAATGGGTGCTCTATCTTAATTACTGTAGGCAATCCTTGGTAGCAATGATGAGGTACATTGCTGAGCTTCTCCTTGTGTAAGTCTTTGTAGTCTTTCTAATTATAAAAAATGACACTATTCCTTGAGTTGGTTTCTGAACCTCTTGTGCTGAACCTGTCCACTGGCAAAACAGGCCTGATTTTGCAGTCCAGGTTTTTTAGGCTCCAGTGTATTCTGGTAAGAGTGAAAACACTTAATTTAGGAATAAGCCTTCCTGTAGAAATAGTATACATTGATGTAAAACTTAAGCTCCATAAAATGATTTTGCTATTATTACCTGTGTTTTTAAGTTTCTGCTTTACCAAGGTTCTGGACCTCTAATGTAAGTTACAATATGGTTTGTAACTTGCCTTTATGTACCTGAAACTCAGGAGATTTGAAGACATAAGATGGGTGAGACTGGGATATCCAGATACCCTAAACAAAATGTTCAGCTTCCTCTGCATTCCAGCTTGTACCTTAATGCATAGACCTAATTTTCTTCTTTAAGCTCTTTCTCATGTTACGTTAACAAAGCCACATATCCCTTGGAATGTGATCTGTGAAGTGAGTGTGATGGTGTCTGGAAATAAAGCACAAACTTTTCCAGAGCATGTTAGAATGATAATATAAAAGCAAACCTTTACTTGAAGGTTGTGTGCTTTCAGGTACACAATATGGCAAAAAAACAGTGCCCCAATTTAGATACTTGCAATTGATAAGACTGGGCAATGGGAATATCTGGCCAGTATTGTCTAATGAGAAGAGCAGTTGGTTTGGTAATCTCCTCCCTGGGTTCTACCCTCCTCTCCTACCTTTATTATGCCAGGGATTACATATGCAAAATAAAGTGTCCTTGGAGAATTTATAGGCAAGACAAGAAAATTTTAGGAATGTGTCAATAAGTGCCTGTTAATTGTGGGAAGGAAAGTTGGAAAAGTACTGGAAGTTACACTGAGGCATTTTGCAGTCTACAGAATCACAAATACATGAAAAATACATAAAAGCTAAAACTTCAGGCATCAGTGGGAAGCCAGTAACCAGAATGTCTAATGAATCGGATGTAATTCCATTACATAAATTCACTGAGGCTGTTCTTAGTTATCATTGATATGTTAAAAATAGCTATTAAATGTAAATTTACTTTAAGCCTACAGTCATCTAACATACATATTCCCAATATATTTTACTTATAATTTGGTTTTGATCATTTTATTAATAACTTGTTTACATAATTCTTTATAAATTACATACCTGTACTATGCAAGTCCTAATATTTTCTTCACATCCTGCAATGGGTTGTCTTGCACATCCCTTAGGGTGCTGCATCCTATTTAGGAAGTCACTGATCTAACAGTGGCTTGATGGACTTGGATACCTCCTGCTGGATTTCTCTCTGGCAAACATAAGACAAACAACTGCCAAAAATTTAGGGTAATGGTTTGGGGTTTTTCAGATAGCAAAAAGACAAGTGCATAAGTACATAATATAACATACAAAGTAAGCTCAGAGCATACAAGTATGTAAGAAGAGTAGAAGTCAGAGCTGTGATATGTGGATATTGTTGGCTTGGCAGTTGTCAATAGAGATACTCCTCCCTACCCTTCCATTTTGTCCTCCCTCACCTGTAGGCTAGAAGTTTGTAGAAGTATTATCAAGCATAATTATTTTTTGTCTCAAGTATTCTGAGATTTAGATGGAGAGGGAGAAGTGCAAAACATTACACTGATTCCAAGTGGATTTTTGCCTTTTTGCTTTTATCTATTCTCTATATTCTTTACATATGTATATTTGTAGCTCTGTAGCCTATTATTGCAGTCGTAGCTAGCATTTTACCTACTCTATTAGATAGAAAGACAAAATAAATTCCCCACTGGCTCCAAGCCCTGGGATCCAAAGTTGGGCTCTCTGAGAGCCAAGGTTGAAAACCAGCTCTTTGAGACACATTCATAAACAAAGTTTAGTTCCTATCTGAGGAGGGTTGTTCAGAAATGGGTAGAACCAGGGGGAATTGCCTCATCACCTATGTCTCTAATTGAGGATGCTTGTCAGTTATGCTAATTTGCTAAACATATAAAGATTGTATCTGCTTTGTTATTTGTACATCTTCAGTACTTTTCATCCAGCGTATTGTGCACCATAAGAATCCTTACAAAGGTAACCCCTTTTTATCACCTGTGTCTGGCTCATAATTTCAGGACTGGTGAAAAGTCATCATACTATTCCCACAGTCCATGGACTTTGTTTCAGATAACTGTAACAAATACAAAAATAGCATTATCCTCAACCCTTTATTGGTTCCTATTGCTTACTGTGGAGACATCACTATGATCCCTGAGCTCCCTGCTGTGAGCCCTTGCCATCCAAGGCAGCCCTTGAAGCAGTAGTTCTGACAGCAGCCATCAGAGGGGAGTATTGACATGGTTAAGACTCACCTTTGCTGTGCCATTAAATTTAATTCTAAAAGAAAGAAGAGGTTTGTTGGATCTTCTTCTGCCTCATGTGCTTTCTCTGCTCAGGATCTGTGATGCATTTTCTAATGAGGAAGTGCCAAATGCTCTGAAGGTGGTGGATTTTACTCACAGTCTGGATTTGAGGGTACTGCCTCGTGTCAGCTTGCCCTATAACTTTCCCACTGCTCAGACCCCTCATGGACAGCAGCTTCTGGCAGAAAGTTCTTTCCCTTATCAGGTGAGTCTATATTTAGTAGGACATGTTAATTTCTGTGTTTCCTTTACAGAAGCCATTTTCGTAAATTAAAATCTACAAGTGCCATGGAAAGCTCTGATCAATAAATACTGAATAAAGAGAATTTTGCATCTGATGGAATCTCTGGCATTAAGTAAAAGATTAACAGTGCTATTCAGTGATTGTAACTACTGAAATTATTTAGAAACCTACAATGAAAACAGAATTTTACCTTAAGAAGTTTTTTTGTTTAACAGGTCCCTGGAAGATTTTGGTGTAATGATGGTTCTGAGTTAAATGTGTGAAAACAGTAAGAGCAAAAAGCGATAGACATTGAACTTTGTGGTGTTTGATGTGATTACAGGTAGACTTGGTTGGCATTGCAGATATAGTCCATTTGATGTTGTTTGGGGATCATATCCAGGTCTATCAGGAGAATTCCATCTGGAAAATCAGCCAAAATTTATCAAAGTAAGTCCTTTTGCAGAGGGGGCTGCTGGGAAAAAAGAGACATCTAACTTCATTTTCTTTATACTGATACTATCTTCAGAGCTTGGAATGTACAACTTGGGGCTGTTTTTGCCAAAAAGTGTTAATTTTGTGGGGCTGGAAAGGTGAAGTTGTTGGACTTGTTCACTGGTAGCCTCAGTGCTGCATAGGAGACAATTTTAAGTTGAATATGAATAATCTGGTTGAGATGGTTTTGCTTTTTCATCTTTTCAGATGAGACTGACAGTCTCTGCACCTTACAGATCAAGCTTGGAGAAGTTTGTAAGTGGGTGGGTGGTGAGGGGGGCAAAGATCACATGAGCATGTTGCCTCAGAAATGGATTCGTTTGGCTTTCTGCTATTTTTTTATTCTACTAAGACACTGATGGCAGGGTGTAACAGCTGTATAAACAGTACACTTTTACAGCAAAGAAAATAATTTAAAACTGTAATCTAAGATGCAAGTGTGCAAACAGCTGCTTTTTGGAAGCTGCATTTTGTCTCAGGTATGAAATTCTACTGCTCTCTTTTAGCCACATGTTGTGATTATAAGTCTGCTCTGCCTTCCTGTGCCCTTTGTTTGTTCTTAGACTGAACAGTTGTTTATTTTGTTAGGCACATACTGCACGTTTTCTTGCCTTGGCATTTCATAAGGATTTTCCAGAACTCTGCACTCCTGACAGCAGTTGCTGGACAGGTATCTGATTCAGGATCATGGATCACTGTTAGGACCATTGCTTTAAGAAAACCCACTACCAGTGGGAGTTGTCCAGTTCCCTAGCAACCTGCACTGCTTACATCTACCAGTTTGTTGTATTCAGTGTTTGGAAAAAATCCAATCTTCTTAAGCTGTGTACAGAGGAAAAAATGCCTTTATTTTTTTTTTTTTTTTTCCTTTACTGGGTATGTGTCTGGTTTTCTACTATGATATCCTTTGTTTAATTCTGCAAGAGATTAAATTGAGGTACTGCAGATGAAGCCAAATAAGGCCTGAGTTGGGAAGGCTGGGACATGGTGTCAGGGACCTGTCAGGATGTGGGTATGGGAAGAAGATCAGTAACTGTTGGGATAATTGGAGCAGGAGGAATAATAAGTCCGAGCTGGGAAGGATAGGGCTGGCTGGCTGCCAGTGGAATTTGGAGGGGAGGAGTTAATTGGAAAGCAATTGTAGTTAAAGCTGGGGACTGGATTGAAAAAATTAGGATTTTGGGCTGAGTTAGAAATGGGAGGAAGTCTTGAGGAGTGGGACCTCTGAAGGGCTAAAGGAGACACAGCAGGAAAAATATTAAGTCTGGGCACAAGTTCTGTGGAGCAGGAACCAGGCTGTAATGGCTTCTTGCTCACCTGGCTGCATCAGTTCATAATTTGGGAGTTCAGAGTACAAATAAGGAATTTCTTTTCCACCATGTCTTCTGCTTTGCTTCTGAAAGTTATAGACTTACCATTCATCATCTGTACTTACTTTTCAATATCAGTTATTCCAAGGAATGTCTGCATAGGTTTAGTTACACATTGTACTGAAGTCTTCCATCAACAGTGTAAATGAGGTATTTCATTATGTGGGAATAAGGAATTTGCACTGAATCAGTTTCCATTCACACATGGATCTTTTAGTCTGTCTAGTTCTTACTGTCACTTGATGTAGTCAGTTTGAAGCTTTCAAGTAATCTGTGACAAGCAAATTCATTGCTGCAGGGAGCCTTCATCCACCAGAAGAGGCTCCACAATTGAATATTCCCTGGGAGAAGAGTCAGCTGATGGAGATCTATTTTGCTCTTCATCCTGTGCATAGAGCCACACGTGCTGATGGCACTTGTAACACTCCTGAAGACACAGGATTCTTCTTCCTCTTGCTTTTAGTAATTCTACTTTTGTTAAGTGCTTCTGTCCTTCAAAATTCTCCAATTGATTTGGAAAGTGATTTTTTTTATTTCTTTGAGGTTCATTTGACTTTGCTTAGTGGTTTGGGTTTTTTTGTTGGTGTTTTTTTTTGTTTTGTTTTGTTTGTTTTTTTGTGTGGTTTTTTTTTTGTTTGTTTGTTTGTTTTTACGGTTTTTTTTCAGGGATTGTATTGACAGAATAACTTTCCTCAAAAACGGTTCTTAGAATTCAGGTATTGAATTAGAATTAGACTTCAGGTATTGAACTAGAAAGGAGGCTTCTTACTAGAAGGCTGACTAGTGTTAAATACAACAACCGTAACACTCTTATCTTAAGAAAGCTTTTTAAACAGGACTTAATTATTATTATTAAACAAATGTAGATATAACAGAATGACTGCAAGAGCTGCTGATTTTACTACCAGTTCAGCAAAATACCAAAGCAATGGGGAATTGCAGGGTAGAGCACAACATTTTTCTTCCAAGGTCAATGGCTTTCAATAAAAGAGAACCCACTTAAAAGGTGACAGAAAAATGGAAAACACTGAAACATTGTAGTAGACATTTAGGACAAGATAGAATGTAAATTTTGATCAAGTTGATTTTTTCATCTCCGAGTACAATGCTGACAGCCTGTTTTTCAGGGGAGGGCTTTTACCATTATTAAAGAATGGATATGGTGATTTTTTTCTGTTTTCACTGTACTATTTTAGGAAACTTCATCTGTGCAGGTTTATGTGAGGCAGGATATAGAAGCTGCCTTTGAATTTTTAGGACTATTTTTGTCATTCAGAACTCCTTACCACCTCCTTAGCAACACTTCATGTCCTCTGCCACACCTCTTGCTCATCTAATTCCACAAAGAAAATGGACTCAAGTCTTGCATATTTTTTCTTGGTTAGGTTCTGCACTGACTTAATTATTTTAACAAATATAAAAGTTACCGGTGAAATAGTAAAGGCTGGATTCATTCTAAGACTGGCTGCTGCTGTTTGTGAGTCACTTAGATAAAGCAGAGGCAGATAATTTGTTTCAAAGCCACTGTAACTCCTAGCTCGAGGGAGAAAAGTGCTTCAGTAGTCAGTAGCAGTGCAAGACTGAAGAACAAAGGGTTTGCTCTAATATCAGTTTTCTGAGACTTAAATGAGTCACTTAACCTTTTTATTCGTGTTGTATGGGTACATCTGGGAGAGAGGGGATTAATTACTATTAATTGTCTCCAAAATATTATCTGTATAGAACTCTGGCAGATGGAAGGCAGGGAAAAAAGGAGAAAAACTGGCTCTAAACCACCTTTTTCTCTTTTTTTTTTCTTGCAGCTTTCCTTTAATATTGCCCTTTTAACTTAGCTTGCAAGTGGAAAAATAAGATTTACCTCTGCCCTTTATTCATGAAAGGAATTTCCCAAGTCTTTTGGTTCAAAAATGTTCTTGATAATTCCTGTAAACTAAAACTGCCTTGGCTTACTGTGAATGGTGGTAGTGGTCAGGTATACTAGAAGAGGCAACTGTATAAATAGTTGGTTTAGACCTGTGTAGTTACTATCCAGAAACCTATTGGAGAAAGAGAATGGGGTCCATACATCTAAAATGAACAACACATTCCTAGTTTGCCTTTATATTTACTCAGGTAAGTGAAAATATTATTTCAGGCATGGTTCTCCCAGGGATGTTTAGTGTTGAATATAGATGGAGACTTTGATAGACACGTTGTGTGTGTGTGTACTGTTCCACTGAAAACTGCTCTGTTTGTTTTAGGACCCCTGACAGTGATTTCTGGAGTAAACTTTTTGAGAGAATTCTGAATGCAGATGGTAAGTCCACAGTACCTCTGCTGAGGGAGTTGAGAGAGGAAATCAGTGAAATGTTTGACAGCTCTTTCAAAGAACGACTTTTGTTGACCTTAGCTGCTGTGGGAGAAACTTTCCTCCTGGTGGACTTCCAGTGACTTCATAGAAAACAAACACATTTTGTATTCTAGAGAAAAATTTGTTGTTGCTTTCATATGTTTTCAAATTTAAACATGAGAGTGATTGGAGCCATTTCTGCAATACTTCACATGGGACTTGCTCAAGAATGTTTCTATTGCATGAGTGCATGGAAAACCTCCTGAGCCTCTACATGAACCTTTCTGTGTCGGAGCAGTTTGTGAAAGAAAATTGTTTGTCTTAATTGCCACCTCCCCTTCTTGTACAGCTCCTTAGAAATTTAACACCTAACTTGCATCACACTCTTTGAAATGTCTTTGTCTTGCATTCAGTTGGTCTTTTAATTGGTGTTTAATCAATAAAGTTGTGTTTTGGTAGCGAGTGTCATATTTAACATTGCTATCAAATGGTTTCAAATTACTTCATTTAGAATCCATGCAGGAACGCTGCTGCATGACTGGGAATATTTTGTGGCTGCTGGATGCAAAAGCTCCTCATTTGGTGGTAGCTTTCATAACCACATAGGATTTCCTGGACACTTGAATACAGCTTGAATGATTCTACTTGGAATGTGTTCTTGTAGAAAGTTTTCATAAGAAGAAGTAGATCAAGTCACAAGTGGAAAAGCTGCACACATAAACCTTTTTTCTTCTTAAGGCAAGAGTTTTGTTTACTTTTGCAAGGGCTGGAGTTCCTGACTGGATTTGAGCATCCCTGAAATCTCAATTTGCCCTAAGTGATGTATTGGCACGCTTTTGTGGGAAGTTTTGTGGATAGTTATATGTGTTGACTTTGTATGTACTGCATTACTGAAACCAGTACAAAGGCTTCATTTTATTCAAGACGACAGAATTTACCAGATCCAAACCCAAGGTGGTAACTATGTACTTGAAGTGCAGGGAAACGTCTCAGATTTGGGATTTACTTTACACAGGAAAGTGTGAGCAGACAACTGCACCATTAGCAATTTCTTCTCCCCAAGAGGCCAAATTGACTGTGTTTTTTCATTTAATTGAATTCTCCAGCCATGGTTCTGTTTGGTTCTCCCACTTTGTGTTATCTCCAAATTTTGGGGTGGAACTCAGTTTTGTTTTTTTCACATTGCTTCAAGCCACCTTCTTTCCAGCTTTTTTTCTGCATACTCTGTCACTGTTCCTCTTACTTTGGCCTGTCTTCTTTTTGCTCTCATAGAGTCCTAATGCCTTTTTTTATACTTTCTCTGAGAGGGTTATATATTCTTCTAATTCAGGAATAGGACCTAAATGCCCTGGTAGACCAGCTTAGATCAAATGTAAAACTGCTGCTGAAGAATTTATTTTGGTCCATTAATGCCTTAATTAATGCTTCTTGTACTACATTGATTAGTCATCTATTGAGCTAGCAGATAAACACTGCTCTATCTCTAACCAGAGTTTAGAGCCAAGATCACTGGTAGAGCACTCAGGAATCCAATGCATAGCTAATTTCTGCTAGCTCTATAAAGATGGTGTGTTTGTTTTTTTATTTAACGGAAGTTTTTTTTGCCTTTGCTGATCGTCTTACTGCCTTTTAGACAAAATCTGGGGAATCACACTTACTTTCCTCTCACTTGCAAATTTTTCAGTTTCCTGCAGCACTGAGCTGAATACCAGGTAGATTAGGAAGAGAAGGCTCCTAACAAAGTATCAGTCATCCCAAGGACTTCTCAGACAAGGCGTGTTTGTAGCCAGTACAGAACAACTTCACTGTGTCTAATTTGCACAAAAAGCTTTTGAGAACAGGCTGAACAGAGATAAGAGCTCTCAGCAGAAGTTCAGTAAAGGAAATCTGTTCTTCAGGTCTTTAAAATATGTAATGTAAGTGAACCTATTTGTCTTTACTTAAATGAGATCTAAATCAAAGCTGCAATACTCCACTATTACTTTTTTGTTGACTTGTTATCTGTTTTCTTTCTAAACACAAAGAGAGCTATTTCTTCTCTGTCTAATACAGCTGCCCATAATCAGTTACTCTTCATGTACATCCCAGACAACACAAAACTACCCCCCAATAGTGTAAAAACAGAAACGTCAATGGCAGTATAAATTTCTCCATAATAAACACACACAAATAATGAAGAGGAGCAAGCAGGTATAACAAGAACGAGCAGTCATCTCTTCTGATGTTTGTTCCCACTTTTGCTTCGATGGAACTCTGCCTCTCTGCTGCACAGGTCAGTCTCTGCCTCCCCTATGCCATGAGCTGATTGCACCAACATGTAACAGGAACTCGGGAGCTCTTTGGAAACCCCGGTGGCCGGTCAAAGAAATCCGCCTCCAACGTTAAAAAAGCTTTTCCTGAGCATCACTTTCTGAATCAGTGTGACCTTGCAGGCTGGGATTGCCATAGTCTTGCCCACAGGATATTTGGAGATGAAAATTGTCTTAATATTTTCTGAGGGAAAAGAGGCATTTATAAATCTTAACATGACAAAATGTTCCACACCAGATTGAGGTATGACAGGCAGATGTGTAAGTCCTAGTGAGGTTGTCATTAATAAATAGAGTGATGGAATCTGGGCTATGGAAAATTTAATGGCTATTATATAAATAAAAGTGCACAGAGGAAAATAGGAATGTGATGGGTCATGGTTGTACCAGGTTGCTGGAGAACAAAACTTGACCAGAGATACAAGAAGGATGTCTGAAAGATACCTGCAGGCTTCAGCTGCTTTGATTCAGAAACTAAAAGAATCAAATTATTAATGTCCACTCTGTTACGCAGAAAGGGGTCTAGGAAAGTTTGCAGGAAATCACTGAGCACCCAAAAATGCTAAAAGTAAAAAATGGGGACTGATTAAATGTGCTTGAGCTGTGGATGGGACAAACCTCACAGGTGTGAGCCATTTTATTCTTAAACTGTGGAAGCTGCAGCTGGAGTTGATCCCACTGTTTCTAAGGCCTCACGAAGATCATTGCTTACACCTGTGAAATACAGGTGGTCCAGGTTACCTCCTTAGTGGCTCTGGAGTGACCAATGATGTTACAGAACCTAATTGCTTTTTAAGGTACACCTGCAAGTACTTACAAGCCCGTTGTGAGCTCTGGAGCTCACTTTATTTGCTCACATAACATCTGAAGAGAGCATTTTAAGGAAGCTTGAGGAAAGGTGAGGAGTACTGATCATCTGCTGGTCTTCAAAGGTATGTGATTTGTAGATTTAAAATCCTAACTCTGAGATAATTGGGAAAGCTCCTAAAATCAGATAAGTGTACTCAGAATATATGTATCTGAGACTTTTACAGCCTCGGGTTTGTGTTCGATAAAAAGATCAAGAAAACCTCAGAAGAGAAAGATGCACCTGATAACTGGTACATTATCAGAAGTGTCTGCCTGAGCTTATGCTAGCAGATAAAATGATTTCACAGAATAAACTAGGATTTTTGGGTTTTTCAGAGTGAACTAGAAGGGACAGGCAATTCAAGAGAGCTGTAAGGATGTTGTGAGGTTAAGCAGGGACAAAATTAAAAGGGGCCAAAGTCCAACTAAAACTTAATCTGGGTACTGCTGTGAAAGACAGTATAAAAATGCTTCTATAAATAAATGAGCAACAAAAAGGGCTGAGAAGAATCTCTATTCTTATGGGACTTTAAGGCACTCTTTATTAAGAAGTGTTTGAGTCAGTGTCCCTGGCAGGATTTAAATAATACATAGAGGTGGCACTTGGGGATGACCTGGTTTGCTGGTGAGCTTGGTGGTGCTGGGTGGACTCTTGGACATCTTTTCCAACCTTAATGATTCTGTAATTTAAAGAAGACAAATCACCCCTCCTGCATGAGCATCAGCAAGTAATTCTGCATCTTTCTTCTGTTCTGCTGCTGATTTCCCAAATAATATTCCAAAATGCCTTTGGGCTAAAGTGCAGCTCCTGAGGTGCAGTGCTCCCTGCTGTGTCCTGGTGATTTCCCCAAGGATGCCTCGATATGCAAAAGCTGTGCTCCTATTAGAAGTGAGTTAGACGTGAGTTATTTGCCTGCGGGCTGGGGAATTGGTGGTTGGAGTCTTTCATTTAGCCTTGGGCTATGGGTGCTGCAGTCACGTGGATGTGCCTGTGTTTATATAGATCACCCTTAAAGCTTGACAAGGAGCACTGAACTCCTTTAACAGTTTCATTCTTTTGGTTCTTACTATTTCACACTTGTTGCCTCTCTACTCGGTTAATCCAGCAGAAGCTGGATGCTGTTTGGAAGCTTAGAAAGATGAAGGTTTCATTTCCATAATAGTTTAAATTATTAAACAATGTGAATATCAAGGTCATTCATTAAAGACTGAGGAAGAATGCTGTTCCTTTTGTTGGTTCTAGAAATGTTTATTCCCTCCTTTCCTTTTGTAATAACTATGATCCAAAGCTATTTAACTATTGACCTCATGGTTCCAGCAGGTATGGAAGTGATTTACCAATCAGGAGCAGCAGCTGGGTGACATTATGCTGACAAAAGACAAATGTTAGTGTTCAGTTTCTAAGCCTGAGTTGATGGGTTTTTTCCCAGTGCTTTGGATTCTCTTGATTTTTCAGTATCTTGAGCAGTTCCTTGAAGCTAAACTAGTAGTGTACTTCATAGTATAATGCTTTATATTATCATTCGCTCAGGAATCATTTTGTAGGAAAAAGGAAGTTGGAATATTGCAGAATTCAGTATTGGTATGCTTCCTTGATATGCACTAAAGGCACTGTTATGGCTGTTTTGCCACATCTGCATCTACTCCTAAAGAACCAGCCTAGGTTAGTATTTTACCTGCATGTGAACTGAACTGGCTTATTCCAAGAGCATTCTAAAATTATAATTTTTGTTCATATCTAAGTTCTTAATCTTCACTTTTCTCTCCTCTGTGTTTTGCAATTTTTACAGGCACTAAACATTTGTTCTGTAAGAATTGTGTTGATGTGGAAACCCCACACAGCCAAGGCCAAACCAACAGTCACAGGACCCTCAGGGGTCCCCTCTAGCTCAGGCTGTTCTGTGATTCCATGAGTTATTACTGAATGGTTATAAGCAGTATGAAGCCTTTACATAAACCAGGGTCTCTGTCCCCTCTTTTTTGTGACATGTGTTTTCTTCCAGAACTGGTTGTATCTCACAATGGAGAGATTTTTTTCAGGGTAGAAGTTACTCTACAAACATGAATATTATTTAACCTCAAACCCAGTGAAGAGCTGGGAAAGCTAAATCTAGCTCTAATGAATGAAGTCTGAAAGCTGACAGCATTCAGTAATCTCACAGGCTTGGGATATTTTCTGACAAGAAAATTCATTTCTGAGACTTGTTGACAGAAACATCAAGAATGGAGATGCTGCCTTTGCTTCCACCCACCCCAGCAAAGAGTGGGGGACGAGAAGCAGCTCTTATAAATAGCTCGGTTCCTGTTGTATTTGTAAGTTCGGTGCTTTTTGTGTCAATGACATCACCCTCTTCTCCATGGCAACCCCCTACGAAGTCAAAACTGCAGGGCACTGTCAGAGGAACTCAGACCAGCAGATGAACAGGTTGAATCAAGATGATTTAACTGCAAAATAGTGCAGGGGCAACAGAAGGAGGTGGGAAACAAACAAAGGGGCTACTGGCAGCTCTGTTACTCTGGAAAACAAGCATCTCTAGTGTCTGATTCCCCAAACTGCCCTATCTCTCTGTCTGATTCCCCAAACTCTCCCCTATCTTTTTCCAAGTCCTTGTCAGGAGGAGGTAGGTGGAAGGCAGGTAGGAATCTTATTCCCAGTCTTCAATGTGTCTGGAGAGCAGAACTATAGGTGACTAAGCAGGAGGAGTATGACTGACTCATTCCTGAGTTATTTCTCACTCCTCTTCCCCCTCCCATCTATTCTGTTTGGTTTTTTTATCTTTCACCCAACAGCTCAGAATTTTTCCCCAGGCTCTGATGAGGAAGAATTAGCAGCAGGCTTTCTTGTTACCTAATGTTCACAAAAATGTGCTTGTGGTTATTCAGGTGAGGAAATAGAAGCCAACTCCAAGAACAAGAAAAATGAATTGGCTCTTGGATACAGCACCTTTATCTGGGAGAAAAAAAAAACTGCTTCTCTTTTCTGAGTGTTGTGTAGGAAATACTGAAGTAGCTGATGTGCCAGGAAGCTGTAAATAACTGGCTTCTTTTTCAGGATACCTATGGAAAATAGTTAATTGCCTCCCAGGCAGCCCTGCTGGTGTTGATTTCTAAACTGACTGCAGTGGGAAGAAGCCATAGCACTTGGTGTCTTGATTACAGCATTGGATTCTGCTGGGATGCATTTGGGACTCAAGGATCAAGAATATAATGCTTACAGCTGCAGAGTTTCAGCCAGTATGAGCTGTTTCAACCAGCTTAATAAATCTGTCCTCATTTACATCCCTGTGAAGTCTGAAGCCACAGAACAGTTTACCTTCCTTCTCAGGTGCCAGGCAAACTTTTGCTCAAACCTGGCCTGCAGAAGTGTCAACTTTGTATTAAGTTTTGCAGTTTTTGAAACTGCATGACATGGGACCCAGGCAAGTTATGCAAGGCCAGCACAATGCCCAGAGTCCTGACATCCACAAAAGGATGTGGCAATGCTCCCCACATAGAGAACGAAGTCTGTGATGGAATTACACTTTATTTGCCCCTTGTGGCCTGCAGTTTACAGGGCATGAGAGTCTTTAATCACAGATTCTCAAAGTGCAAGGCTCTGTTATGTCTGTAGCTCTATCCCCACCCTATGATGATAAGCCTGTGATTTCTAGGCTTGGTTGAGGGGAAAATGCATGGAGTCTCTACGCACCAGAATCTTGATTAGTATCTTGCTTTTGCCTTTTGTGCAAAATGCCACTCAAGGCACTGTGCCATCCTCTTTGCTGAGCTCACAGCATCAGCCCATGATAAAAAAAGGTCCCAGAAAACATTGACTCACTGCATCCCAGCATCCTGACAGGGCTATGTGTCTGCAATGAGATCTCCTCAGCTGGAACTACGAGGTTGCAATGGAATTGATGGTTGTGAGGCTGTTTTACCTTCCCTGAGTTGTGCTACCACCTGTACTGCCTGCCGGGAACAGGGGTGGGAGCACTGGGATCACTGCCCAGCACCTGGCACGGGGCAGTGTTGCTGAGGAAGCAGCTGGAGCCGGGGGGTTTGCATGTGCATGAGGAGTTTTCTGCAGAAGCTTTAAGACTAAATTGCTGAGAATTTTTGCCTGAAGCAAGGGATGTTTCCCCGTATTTAAGACAAGCAGCAACCTGCAGTCAGAAGGAAGAAGAGACTGTATTTACTCCAGAAGTATTTCTCTGAGATCTATTTTCAAGGTAAGCCTGTTTTTGTGGGAGGTAGATGGGGCAACAGGGTTCAGCATTCTGAACACTGAAACTAAAATGACTTCTGCATTTTTGTTATCTTCCTGGTCTGTAGGACCCACATAAATGTATTATGTCTCTGGTACTCCCTTTTTAGGTTGAAAAGTCAACCAATAAGAGCTAATTTTCTGAGGTCTGAAGCCATAAAAATGGGTGAGGGAGAATGTTTTTAACACTGCCTTGTGCCTGTGGTGTTTTAAATACTGCCTGTGTTCTAGTGGTGAATGAATGCCATGGATTGTGCCTCTAAAAATATTTAAGTAGCAGAATGATGAGTATTAAAAGAACAGTAGGTGAATTAAAGTAAAATTTAGTAAATAGACATCAGCTTATGGTTTATTAATTTAGTGGTTTTCAACATTGCTAGGTTATTTGTTGTTCTGTAGGAGGCAAAATGAAGATGGTTCATGCCTTGGTAACTTGGACTTAAAGGTTTTTTGGCATAGTTTGAAGAAATGCTGTTGAAACCTAGAGCAAAGAGATAAGATTATTTAAAAAAAAAATTTATGACACCTGAACAACCAGTTTATTGCTGTTGAAAACTATTGGTTGAGAGGCCAGAAAGTAGTAGAGAGCTTGTCCTTGCTGCAGGAAAAGCCTGTTAAAGGTAGGAGAAAAATACCTTGAATGTACCGAGACGGCTCTGAAAATAACTGGTAACACCTAAAGAATGTTTGATCGTCAGCATCCCTTCCTTATACTGAAACTATTCCTAGCTGAGAACCCTCCAGCCTGAGAAATGTGTGCTTAGGTCGTGGGTATAAATAACAGTCCTTGATGGGAGTACAGCAGAGCATGGATTTAGTGAAGCTGCTGGAGCCGTGGAGGGAAGGTGCTTGCTGAGCCCAGAAGTGCAGGGCAGAGCATGCACACTTTCTCTTTGCATGCTAGTGGAACTAATAATTGAAAGAAGTCCATTTTGCTCTTGGAATAATACATGTTCATAAAACAAAATCACCTTCTGTTTAGGGAAATAACTATAGTCAATAAACTTTTGGAAAAAAGCCTTGCCAAGTCTGTGAAGAGTGAAATCAAAATACTTTTTTGCCTCTTCTTTTCCCTAGAGAAGGTGGCAGCCAAACAGTGCCTGGAGGGAAATTGTGCCCTGGGCAGGCTGCAGAATGGCTGGGTGAGGTTGCCTGGGAAATGGCACCTGTGCCCAGTGTTGAGGCAGGGGCTAGTGACTGAGAGGGCCTTGGTGCTGGCAGTGCTTGTGTAACATTGTGCTGTGTCCGCAGCTGTCGCTGCCAGGCACTGGATCAGCTCATGCACTTGGATGTAGTTGCTGCAGCTTGATTCCACTCCGTAGAAATAGTTGAGGCTATTCCTGCCAACTTCCCAGTCAGGAGTCATCAGTTCTGCCTCTGTCACTTGGGGAGCATGAACAAATAACTCTTAAATCATTAATCTAGGGCAGCTTCCAAGACTCCTGTGTCTTGTACCCAAGTCTGGAATACATTTTGATCCGATCATTATCCAGGGACAGCAAAGACTTTGAAGAGGTGTTTACCCAGGGGGTGGCCATGCTGCACTTCAAACTCTCAAAGAAAATCACAACATGAGAGGATAGGGGGAGCAAGGGAAGTGCAAGCAAGGCCCCAGAGGAGCAGGGAAACTGGAAAGAAACTGTAATAGCCACATGCTGTGGACTGGTGGACAGGCCAGCACAGCAGCCTGTGACTTTGGGAGGCTATGGAAGCTGCTGCTGCTGCTTTTGGTAGTGCCACTTGACAAAATTTTAAACTGGAATTCTGCACAACCAGTGTTAAACATCAGGTTATCTTCCATGGGATGGTTCTTTACATTTGGTAAAACCTTGTAGTTTGGTTGATGCAACTTGATGGTAGAGGGGGACTTTTGACTTCCAGAGAGAACCATGGAAGGAGGGATAAATAAGAGGAAACAAGTGTTGCTGCTGGAGAATGCAAAGCACAGCAACCTAGATAAAGGTGATCCTAATTGAGGAGGAGGAGCATTGGTATTTAATTAAAACTACTCCTAAAACCCAGGTTCTTTGCAGTAAAATAAATAGCATGACATGAGTAATTCCTCTCAGGGAACAAAATTACACTAATGTAGTAATAAGAAGGGCTTGTGTACAATTGCTCAGAGGAATAGGAACATGGCAGAATGATTTTTCACTGCTAAGAAGTTTAAAGGTAGTTCAAGGAAAAAGAGACAGATGCTGGTTAAAGCACATGCTCCTCAGGCCACTTCCAAAAACAGAGCCGACTTCCTGACCTGGATGTTCTTGCAGGACTTAGCAATCCCACCACAGAGTCTTAGCTCCCTCTCTGCTTTAGCAAATGATGGCAAGTTCTGTGTGTCACTTGCACTCCTGCTGCTCTGTCAGGGTGTTTTCAGTGAATTAAAAATAAATATTTCAGACCCAGACTTAGGACAATTGAGCTATGTGTCATGCATCTGAAGGCAAGAAAGGACATTAAAACAGATTTTTTTTCCTTATTTCCCTCCCACTTCTCATTTTTGATCATCTTAGAGTTGTATCTGCATTCCTCAAGCTGTGATGCCCATTCTGGGGAGGTGGTTAAATAGCATGAAGTCATTAACCATTCTTGACTGAGTAACAGCCAGTGACACAACATTGTTTCTTCTCCATAGCTGCCTTGTGTAATGCTGCGAGTTTTGGTTACTCTTTCCATTTCATGCTTTTCATTTCTGTGACATCCGTCTGTTTAGCAGATAAGGTTGTGGAGGGTGAGGAAATAATCCCAGAATACAAAAACACATGCAAGTAAGGCTGGATGGGGCTTGGAGAAGCCTGATCTATAGGAAGGTTCCCTGCCCACAGAAGGAGGCTGGAACAAGTTAATCTTTGAGGTCTCTTCCAACCCAAACTATTCTGTAATTCTATGAGTATATAAAGGGGATTTAAAGAAGAACAGAGGCATTGGGACAGTGGAATGGGAACTGCTGTTGCAGTGAGACAAGAACCTGGATGCTTGGGGACCAGGAAAGCAGGTAGTAGAACCTTTTTCCTTTTGTGTTCTTCCTTCCCTCCCCCTTTTACCCCATCTGTAAAAACAATCAACCAATTATCCACAGCTCTCCCCCAGAACCCCTACCTTTAGTCAAAGGACAGAGTAAAGTGATTGTGGCTTATGGTAGATGTGGAAGGTAATTTGTGACCTACTCTGAAGAACCAATGTAGCCAAACTATGGCTTTGAGCAGTGTCATTTTTGGTATAGAGTCAGCTGAGGCAATGCAGCAGCTTCCCCTGGCCAGGGACAGGTGGCCTGCTGATATGGCATAGTGAGAGTGTATAGACAAGATGTTGTAGTTATTAAAATGAAACATGGCATTGCAAACTAGAAAACAAATGTATTCAGCAACTTCAACAGAGACAGTGACTCCATAAATTGATAATGTCAACTTGATGGCTCTGAGCCCAATTGTTTGTCCCTGAGAATTGGTTAAATAGAGTTGAATGTCTGTAGGGTCAGTGTTCCCCTATTGATGGCCTTCTAGTTTTTTGACTTTCTTCCCTGCCAAGTATTGTGGGAACCTTTTTACCCCACCTGTGTCAACATTTGAGTCTTCTAAATCTGTGACTTTTCAAGGCATAGAAGGAGCTGAGGGTTTTCACAGCACAGCTGGAAAGCTGTGCTTGGAGGAGAAGAAGGGTGCAAGTCTGTCCTTAACCTGGGCCAGAAACAGAGGAGTTAAGATGTAGTGGCCAGAAGGCACTACACAGATCTTAAAATAACCAAGAACAGGATAATTTGGCTTAAAAAACCATCTGGGTCTTGATTCAGTGCTCATTAAAATTCATAGTAGCCTTATGATTGGCTTCTGGAAGAATTAAGCAGGGTGTTACACTTCATAATGAGTACTTTGGGACTTGGCCAAGAAAGTACATCACTGCATACAGTAACACTAGAAATTAACTTCTTTCCTGTGACATCCAGCTTAGAATGAGGATCTTTCTAGCACTTGTGGAAGTCAGTGAAAAAGCTCTGGTTTCAAGGGATTTTGGATTTCATCCGAAGAACAGATGTTACAGCTGATTTCAGGAAGAAGTGTCTCTGGGCAAGTCATCTCTAAGCTGGTCATGCTGCAGCAAGCTGTCCACTTTGGGAACATTAACAGTCTGCAGCCACAGAGCTCCTGAGTGTTCAGGGAAAGGACAAAAATCATACTGCCAACCTAGCACTGGGACAGAGTAATTGGGGCCTAAAAGGAAAAACGCCTGCTTGTGTTTCTTTCATTAGAAACCTAAATGTACTAACTAATGGTACAAATAGCTTAGAACCTCGTGGTACCTCATCAACCATGAGATGATGTCAGTAGACAAAATGCTCCTGTCTGTGACTGCTGCTGAGAATACCTCCTGATTTCTGCCTCTTTCTTATAGAATACTGTTTTGTGTTAAAGGAAAGAAAATACTAATTCTGCTTGTTCCCAAACCAGAAATTTGCAAAGCTCTTTGGACTTTTGTGTTCTCTTCCAAGTTCTAAATATGTTCTCCCAAAGCATCTTGAAACAGCAGCCTGGGTCACATAAAGCTGAGCCAATAACTTATTTAAGGAATATTACCTTTTATTCATTTAAAGACATGGTTTAAAAATAGTCTCTTGGGCTCACCTAAATTTTCCAGCTCCTTCTAACCTGTGGTCTGGGATCACCTTCAGTGGTCTGTGATTGTGCTTAGACAAGGAATGCTACTTGTAGAAAGAAGAAAATGAAGGTGTTTTTTCAGATAAATGCTCAAGTATTTCTGTAGGACATCTTTGGGCACCGCTGTTACCCAGGCTTTCAGTTTTCATTAAAATTCTGAAGAACTAAATAAGAAAATGGTCATTCTAAATGTTAAGAAGGCTTTTTTTCCTTAATATTTTTTGTATTGGAATGTATTTTTAAAAATTCATTTATTTATAGCATTTATTTGCCACCTCTGAGAGCACATGAACAAGAAGTGTTTGACAAATGG